ACTAAACTTCGCACGTCCCGATCCATCCAATGTTGCATCATATGCTCGAAAGGGCTATACGCGTAATTACGAGAAAATCAGGGAATTGAATATAAATAGACCAAGCCATTGTTGATCACAATGAGAATACCAGATCAGTAAAACTAAAAAAACGCAATTGTCAAATGCAATTGCAAATGGGCTAGAGTCTTACCCGTCAGTGTTTACCATTTCTTTCCGACGACAAATTGTCTCTCCAAGCGCAGGGTACTTGATTCCGTCAAGCAAATCACTCAATGTGTGATTCAAATTTCATTTTTAGCGATTTCCTTGACCATTTCAAGTCAAGTCACGTTGAATAAAGTTTTTATTTGTATTTTATTGATGTTTACAATGATTTTCACTTAACAAAGTATTCTCCCTGTACATCACTACCAGAACCGTTTGAAATGTCTACACCATTTTTTTTGTGTCTGTAATGATGCATATTTTGAGTATTTAAGCTTTGAATTATTATACATTTTACAGGTCATCCCTGGTAAACTTGTAGAAAACTAAATATTTCTGATTTTTTAAATATTTTTTTTCCTTTTTTGCAGATTTCTGTGACAGGATGGATGTCACCTTCAACAATGTTCTGGAAGGTGCTCGGCAGTACTTCCAGGGTCTCCCATCACCAGTTACTTCCAATGTGGACAACCCACTTTATAACTCGGAGACCAGTACCAGCCAACCATCAGTTTCTGGTTCAGAGACAAATTCAAGCAACCTAACAAATAGTGTTGCAACAAGTATATACAGTAGCAGTGCATCATCATTACCGTCTGCGACACTGCCATCTTCCACGTCTTGCTCTTCTTCCACCACTTCTACTCATCCTTCCGTTTCCAACTCCAGTTCATTGCCATACTGGCCATCTCAGCCGTCACTTGGTGATAAAACTTTTACAAAAAACAAAAATCAATTTCTTTCTGTAAAATCTCCCAATTTATCATCGTATGAAAATACATTCTCAACGGTATACAATGGAAATTTTAATAATACAATAGATCAAAGAAATACATTTCAATCCCAAAATCATTCTCAGCAACCACAAAATGTACACACATCCCAACAGGAATCATACTCCCACCATTATCTTACTCAGACAAGTCTACCACGTACAAAAGGTCACAACTTACCTCCAATTGCAACAATTTCGAACCGTCACGGTCACCGGACTACTGCCAGTGCCACTTCAGGACTTTCCGGAATAGAGCGTCTTTCGACCGGCAGTTCTGCCCTAACGCGAAAACCAGAATACTCTTTACCCGTAGAATCGAAATATAACAAAACTGACAACGCACGCTACTTAGAAAATTCCAAATCAGTACCTTTTAATCACTATAACCAAAAATACCTACAAAAGCAAAATAGTGTGCCAGCAACTTCCGTTCATGCCTCCAGAAATTACGCGGTAAACACAACTACCACTTCAACACCTCTTGCGTCATCTGTACCTTCAACAAATTTAACATCGACTCAACGACCTCACCTGCTTCCTACCCAGCATAATCTTCCACAAGTATCATTATCTATCCCTCAGCTACATTCGCAACAGTTGTACAAACATTCACAAGAACTTCATAGCCATCAGCAATCACAACAGCAACAATCGTCGCATCTTAGTCATCTTCAACAGCAACAACAACAACAGCAGCAGCAAAAGAAGCAGCTACAATATCGTCAACAACAATTGCATCAGCAACTTCAGCTGCATCAACAACAACAACAACAACAACAACAACAGCAGCAACAACAACAGCAGCAGCAACAACAACAACAACAACAACAACGGCATCATCAGACACATCAACAGCATCAATCTCAACTTGCTCAGCATCATCAATCACTCATACAGCATGGTCATCAACAAAATTCTCAGGCTCTGCAGCAGCAGCAGCAGCATTTGCAACTGCAGAGCCAACAACACACTCAGCATCAAACTCCACAACATCAACAGCATGTTCATCAGCAGCATCTTCATCAAACACAACTACATGCTCAACAGCAACATCAAATTCATCCTCAGCATCAGGTTCATCAGCAGTTACACCATACCCAGCAACATCATCAGCATCAGCACCAAATACAGCAACAACAGCAGCTGCAGCAGCAGCAACAACAACAACAACAACAACATCAGCTGCAGCAGCAACAGCAACAACAACAACAGCTGCAGCAGCAGCAACAACAGCAGCAACAGCAACAACAGCAGCAACAACAACAGCAACAACAGCAGCAGCAGCAACAACAACAGCAGCAGCAACAACAGCAACAACATGCGCAACATTCTCAGATGTTTCGCTATTTGTACCCTCAAGCTGCCCAAATAAATAATGCAGTACCTCAAGAGCACCAGAAGCGTGATTCTGTTGAAGGGTATCCATCAAAACCTCAAACACAGCACTACACGTCAGACCAGGTAATTGTATTTTTTTGTAATTACCTACTGTATAAAGGCTTGCATTGTCTCCAGGGAGCATTTGATGTTTCGCAAAGAATTTAGTTAAAAGGGACTTATTATCGACGGCCGGCTCGGCCCAGCACCAGAACGGACCGTCTAGAATGCGCACCCTACAATTAAATCCGTTGTAGGCGAGCAGACTACGTAATCAAGACATCGGTTCTCGGAAATTACCTTGAGGTCAGTTTTCGGCGTGCCCCGCCGACCGTTACTGTGTTTCCTGAGAGGGGATCGTCAGAAAGGGAATGTGGACGGGGCATTCCATTTTAAGTGGTCTAGAATGAAATAAATTGGTCGCCTCTCCATCTCAGAAAAAAATCATACTTTGTACATAAATTCCTTTATACTCAGGGAGTTCAAAGCCCTTTTAAAAAATATTGTACGTGGTTCACAAATTGCGGCCAAGATTGTTGTTGGCCGAGTCATTTTTTGTAGAAGTTTACGATTTTGTGACGGAATTTGTTTTGAATTAAATGCTGTCAAGTTTCGAAAGAAACAATTATTTGAACACCATGATTTAAACAAACGACTTTAAAAACGAAATTAAAACCCGTTATGTTAACTACGTCGCTCTTAATATTTTATTGGGGACAAAAAATAGTAATTGATGTTACTCGTCCCAGAGAACACAGATCGAGAAACTACATTTTTGTTTTGGATAATTTCATCTGTTCGGAAACCAATGGCGCCCCGTGCCGTGATGGATCGGGCTGCTATTGATAATGATTTATAAGGTCGAGCCAGTCTCTTGAAATAGGTCCCTTGCTTAATAAATTATAAGCTCTAGTCTAACTAAAGTCTTGTTAAGTAAATTTTCTATCGGAATGTTATTATTTGAGGTTTTCAATATATATGGATTGTGTCCTAGATATGTCTCGGGTAAGATTATATTGATATGCTTCAACTGCAAGAACTTAGTAAATTTTGATTTCACCATTTTTCGTTTTGCATCTACGCGTTCTTGGTCTTTTGGTTATCATATAGTCTGCTGTATTTTTTCTTATCACTTCAGCATTTCCATCGTCTTCTTTTCATTGTCATAACTATCATTTCACACTTGCTGATCTTAGTTGAACTGACAACTGCAACTGCTACTTCAACGGCTACCTACGTTTCCTCAAAAAGTGTGGAAGTGCAGTTGTTACCAAAAGATATACTTTATTTCAGTTTAATACTGTTTTATTTCATTCTACGAGGAGGAGGAGGAGGAGGAGGAGGAGGATTTCTCTTAAATTATTTGAAACAATACGTTATTTCTAAAACTATACAATACTTTTTCTCCGTTTACGAAGTTCAACTCTCTGTAACGTGCGATAAACCAGATGAATCTTAATGGAAGGTCTAGAGAAACCCTGTGAGAGGTGTGATCACTGAACTTTTCTACGTATAGGAACACAAAAACTATGCATGCGGAGTAAAGATACGATATAGTAATACAGGTAAAAGTGCCGATTATTCGAAAAGAAAAACTCATTTTGTAGGTCGCTGATGGCGAAGAAGTAGATGTTCGTGTTTTTGTGTGTAGTAAATCATTTTCTCAAAAACTTAGTGTAGTCAGAATCCACGTACAGTGCGTCTTCTGTGAAAAATGTGGTTTGCGTCAATATGTCTATCTGCCTATTCGTCCGGCTTTCTGTAGACAACACTAAAGCTTATTAATTCGTTCACCGGATTTTCGTGGAGTTTATTATTTCAGTTTCGCCGATCGATCTGACGGAACTCAAGGTTCTGAGTATTTGAAACATATTTAATTTTTGGAGAGTACTTTACATGATGCCACAACAAATTTCCCGAAGTTTACTCAAAAATAGCTCCTTGTTTTTACTGGAGTAGTAGGAAGTATGTTTATAAAAAGGTCGGAGGTCTAATTTTCAATGAAAATTTCTGTCAAATTTTTTCTTTGTTTTTTTGAAACTACGATGATCGATTTTATTAATGAAATCTGTTCTGCAAAATAAGTTCTTGATACATTTTGTCATGATTTTTTTTTTCAAAATAAGTTTTTATGCAATTTTAAATGAAATTGTGACCATTTGGAATTGACACGAAATCATAACCGGCTCTTTTCCTCTCAAATAGTACAAAGTTTGCATAATAATATGGCACACGTCATGTAAACTGTAAACTGTTTTAAAACCATTGACATGTGTTGAAAATTTCTAAGTATCAAGTATAGCTTTGTTCAAATAAGTTCTTATAGCCTCTGGCATTGGACGTATCAACGAATCGTAATAGCTGATAATGTTATACTCCCGGTCACAAATTCCCACCAACCATTGCCTTTCGTGTTTCTTCCATATAAACTGTTAATATTGCAAATTATAATCGCTGCAGAAAATACTTGCAGGTATAGATAATGCGAAAAATTAGAAATTAGTGCAGCTACATTTCGTACGCCATTATTGCTATATACACAAAAATGCTAAATAAAAGATCACATGTAAGCTGGTCTTCAACCTTATCCTGCAATACGATCACTCTCAATTATTTCCTAAAATTCTGTCGCAAAATCTTCTACAATATCATTTGATTCTTCCCTTAATTTGCTTAACACGTCCATAGTTTTGTCCCGTAAATTTGTTAGAGAATAAACTCTACAAACTCAAGTCTAATTTTGTGTTCACTTCGATTTCCACAATTGCTCTATTCGTTTTTTAGGCGAATCTGTATTAATATTAAGTGCGACTGTTTTGTATATTTATATGAATAAGATGTTAGTTAAATTTAATACGAATAAGTGGTGGGTTACATTCATTTGAAAATCGGCATTTGCACGCTTAAGAACGTAAATATAGAAGTCGAACGTAAGAACGTAAATATCCTTTCATTCTCTAACATTCTTCACAGGTTTTTTTCGTATTTATTTGAAGTTCTTCAAATTTAATAAGTTCCAAGGCGTAGGTTTATGCAGATTTATTTTTTATCCAGTGTGGTTAGGTAATGTGAATCATTATGGTATTATCAGTTCCGTAATGAAGTACTTTACCTCTCTAGTGTGGTAATGAACTTCATTATCACACCAGTGCGGTAATGGCATACGAGTAGGCTTATTCTGAGACTAGCACTATTCCATGGTCTACTATTGAGAATAACAATAATTATTCAAATAATTTATTATGAAAATAACTTAACAATTTTTCAACAATAATAATATGTTTTAATTACTTATTATATACATTAACAACAAATTTCTTGCAATTCGAAATTGTAATTCCTGATGATGATGAAGCCTGACAATTCATATTAGTATTTGCAATACTATTTTCCCTCATAATTTTCATAGCTATTTGTTTCTTGTTTTCTACTGACGATTCCACATACCCTTCTGCAACAGAAGACGACTTCCATTCATCGTGCCTCTTCAGCATATCCATGTCAGCACCTTCATTTGTTAGTAATGCCGAAAACAATGTCCTGTAAATCTTTTAGGGTTCTGCAAACCAAGATACTTTTGCTATTAGCTTCGGAATGCCTCCAAAAGTACTTATTCCAACAGGTTGGCAAGTACTTTTTCCATTTTTGTAAAATACAAAGAAACTATCATGCTTGACACTTTCAGGCCGAAGGCGAAAATATTTACGAAATATTTCTAAACAGTTAAATTCTTTAATATTCCCTTCACTAATTACGAATTCTCTTGCAATTAAAGTCTTACTGTTTGGTATATTAATTAAAATACATGTTTGTCTATCCTCTGTATCACTTATTTTAAGATTCTTTAACTCATCTCTACAGCAAGCGCCAAATTTACCAATTATTAAGGTCACCTTCATCAACAAATAATTATCATCGTCAGCTTCTATTAAAAATTTATGTATGTCTTCTTTTGAAAATGTCTTTGACTTTTTTGTTTTATATCCTTCACTTTTCCTTTTTTTTAAATGCTAACATCTGAGTAAACTTGCTTATATCAATATCCTTAACTTATAAAGTACTCTTCAGCATAGAAAAGTGTGTCCGAACTACTCGGTGTTTCCTTTTCTGACTTTCCGGAAAAGTAAGCCATTAAAACTTTTTCTGATATGCAATGAGCGTTTTTGTTTTCACACCAATCCAAAATTGAGTACTCACGTTCATATTTCTTCTTTGATTTGTATGGTAACAAAGAATCTATAGCAGCATTTGCTTTTATTTCTAAGTCTGAACTACATTCGCTCATATTGTCGAAATGTGTACACCATGCGCGTTTTAGTTGTTCTCCTTGTTAAGAACAGTGTCGCCACTTAAAGGGGGAAAAATGTGAATACTAAATGAAAATCTCAATCTTAAATCTAACAAATTTTTACAAAGTGGATAAAACGTTGTAAGTTATTCGTGCCGTAACATCTGATTACATACTCAATCGGTTACCAAATTCGTCCTAACAGACTCGTTTGGCAATTTTCCAATCTCGTATTATAATCAGATGTATTACGACACTAATATCATAAATAACTATTAAATACTATAATACAGATGAAAATGAAATCTACCACGCGGTTCTTTTGTTTAACTTAGAAGTGGCAACAATCGGTATTACTCGCGCAACTTCTCTTGATCGATGGATTGAAAAATGCGGGTAGAGTGTGGGTATTAGTTAGGAAATTGGCCACTAGATTTTATAAAGCAACGCCAATCTCTGGAGAATCGATCATGCCTTCGCAACGTTCTCAATAATTTGGGTTCTAACTTTCTCAGGTGTTCGAGGTTTCTCCTATAATAGATCTTTACCTGCCCTGCTTTGGTCAGTTGTTTAGATTTTGGAGAAAATATCGGATAGAAGTTTTCGTCTTCAAAAGAATTTTTTTTCTATTTCGCGCCAGTGAAGATGTGTTTGGAATGTTGTCATTAGTGCTCGCTGCGAGCTTTTGCCTTCATCTGTTTATTGTGCCAAAAAAGTGGGAAGCAAGATCATCGTTCAAGAAAAGTTGCGCGAGTAATATTGCCACCTTCGTGAAAGAAAATGATTGCGTCGTGGA